ACTTATAAAATTTGGGTGCGTCAATCATTTGACCTACTATTATAAAATGATCTGCGTGACAAATCGTGCGTCTGTTATATGATTATATGATCATTTGACTCTTATATTATTGTAATTGATCTTATTAATAATTCCTTAAAATTATCATAGTACCTTACCTAGCACTTATTAATATATAATTGATCATTTTGATGATTTTATGATTCTGATCGATCATATGCATTACATGTACAAGTTGTTTATCGATTGATTGTTTATTACCTTATTTTTATATATATTTACTGCATACTGAATATTACCATAATATGAGCTAGATCCCCAGAACTTTGTCCCAAAGTTTCTAACTTTTTTTGTATACTTTTCTCAAAGATATCATCAACATCACCAAACCTACTATTACAGTTACTTTTCACCAATGATTCTTTTTCTTGATTGAATACACTTCTCATTATTCGATCACTACTCCCAATATCAAATTGTATATTCAAATCACTATTTGCAGTAGGCTTCCAGTACTATCCAATAATTCCATTATCAAAATTCCTAAAATTTATATGCCAATACTATTTGGACAAATCTATATCACAATCAAATTCATCAGAGTCATCATCCCTCAACACTTTCAACAGATTCTTTACTATCTCCTTCTTTCCTAGAACTATATCTGTTTTAAACTTTGTTTCAGCGAATTTAATGTACAAAGTCACTTCACAACTTGGCTTAGGTAGAGATTCAAATTTCTTATTATTCATTTGATACATCTTACTACTATTTGTATTAACCACCATATTTATTTCTCTATTTTCATCAATTATTTCCTTTTTTATATTATCATTTATCACTAACTTCTCTACAATACACCCAAAGTCAATTAAATCTTTTTCAATAAACACATCAAACATGCTTTTAGGTTCTCTTTCATCTATTTGATCAGATTCATCAAAATCAATCAAACTAATCTCTTTATTGACTCCAACTTCATCGCCATTCAATTCTTTCCTGATTACAATAACTGACATCATATATTTTATTACTACACCAGATATCTGCAGATTTACTATTGCTATTCTTCATATCTGACAACAACCATACTATTTCAGCTTCCAAGTCATCCAACCCTTGATTATCCACCTCACTAATCATTTTATTACTTTCAATATTATTTTTTTAGCATTTTTCGTCTCTAATTCAGCTTGATTAGAATAGTCACTGATATTATCTCAAAATATTTTGAATAAGTTTATACTATGATTTGGTATAGCAAAATTCAAATACTTGTTGGATACTTTGCTTTCATCATTACTGATTTTTTTTTGTTAATCATCATGTTTGCAATCACGTCACTATTTCTTCTAGTCATCTTATCATATTTGTCTACATTTTTAACACATGTATCTTCCTCTTTCTCCATGTTTATATAAATTAACATCATGTTTATCTTGTGGACTGTTGATACTAATTCGTTGCAAGATGGACTAGTAATTTGCCCAGGTCTTTGTGTTATAGGTTAATCAATGACTTTTGTCAAAGAATAATCTAATCCAGATAGTAGAGCACCAATAACTAGATACTAATGAACCGAACACAATAAGGCAAGTATTTTATTATATACTGTTACTTTATTTATTAAGGGTTTATTTTATTAATTAAAAGAGACTAACACTCACTAACCTACTCCTTTACTACTATTATATTCACTTTATTTATATATACTTCAGGTCATATTATTTACATTATAATTTGCTTATATGATCATACGATCATTTGACTCTTATATTATTGTAATTGATCTTATTAATGATTTCTTAAAATTATTATAGTACCTTACCCCAGCACTTAAAAAAATATAATTGATTATTTTGATGACCTCATAATTCTGATTGATCATATGCATTAATGCACAAGTCATTTATTGATCGATTGCTTATTACCTTATTTCTATACATGTTTACCACAAACTGTACATCACCATAATACTAAAAAGAAATTTAATCCAAGGTACAAACCTATCTAATATTCTTATATATCTTGCTCCTCAATATTAATACGTATTGTAAACTTCATTAACAACAAGTTTGCTTATACAAAACCAGAAATATTGTTGTATTTATTTTGTCATTTTCTATATCGCTAACTGTAGTTTGATAATTTTGTTGTTGACCAGAAAATCATCAGAAAAAGTTGAATAGTTTTGTATTACTATAAATATATTTTATTATATTATTATATAATAATACAAAACTATTTCTATCTTAGTATCT